CTAGGCTATAAGATGACCCTATTACACTCGATGAAGAAGCTCATTCCACTACTTTGGGCCCTTGAATTTATATAGGTAATTATTTGTGTAAACACTTGTTCAATGTCGCTAGGGAAACTGAAGGGACGAGATCTGTGCGTCAGCAGAAGCCAGTAGCTGGAGAAACTTGGAGGTGTAGGACAGCTTCGAACTTCGTCCTTAGGGTAGCAGGAACCTGCTGAAGGGTTTTAAGCAGCAAACGGGCATACTCATATTTGTGATCGAGAAAGATCACTGGGTGGCAGTGATGGAGAAGGCAGTGGTTCTCAAACTTTTTTAAGCTCTAGAGGGCTCATGAAAACACAGTTTCCTGGGGCCCATCTCCTGAGATTCTAATTCAGAGGGACTGCTATAGTGCTCCCTTATCTCTGGGAAATATGTTCTAATACCCCCAGTGGATGCCTGAACCATGGAGAGTGGTTATTAACTTAAAAAAGGCTCCAAAGAGAAAGAACGGTGATGCTGAGAATTCAGGTATGCCGAAGCGAAGCCACTGAGGTGAAAGTTTGGTACTCTCCGATGGTTCAGGCAGCGAGAGGTCCAGCAGGCAGGATGCTGAGGGAATGATTCGGCAGCTGTTTCCAGTGATGCATTGTATGAAGGGAATGAAGGAGAGGGAGAATCCCAGGTGGGTGGGGCTGCCGCTGTCACACTGTGGAGGAGGTGTGGCCAAGAAGACACCATTTTGCTAAGTCCGATGGACCATTCTCTGCACTGCCTGCTGTACCTTGGTTACATGTTTTTCTCCGAGCTTCGCTCCATCCCTCTGATGATGTCTTTTCCTTTGTTCCTCTCCTGGAATTTCTGGGGCCCCAACCTGGATTCCACTTTCCCTGGGAGAAGGGGCGGAGGGGTGTCTTCAGCAGCTCCCAGAGTTTCATCCCTCTCCTGCTTCATAGTACTGATTCTCTTCGTTCTCCAATAGTCCACAGGGCTCAGACCTTACTTATCTCCTTTATCTTCGAATCTCTTCCCGCTCCCAGCACAGTGTGGGCACACAGTGAGCCCTCGAGAAGTATTTATGAACGAATTCCTGCTGTCACTATTTTGCCAGCTCTGTGAATGCAGGCAAATTACTTAATCTCTCAAAGTTTCTATCTCTTCATTTGTACAGTGGAGTTAGAAATAGAATTTACCTCCTAAGAGTTGCTTTGCGATGAAAGTGCTTATTAGCACACAGTAAACGTTAACTACTATTATTGTTTTTATTATTGGTACATGTATGACTTGGGGAGGGCTATTGAGCTTGTCTAAAGTTCAGTATTGTCATAGTCAACAAGCACTCTCCCGCTGGGCTGTCGAGGGGGTCCAGCAGATAGTAGGTCTGTAAAACAGTTTAACTGTTGTCATTGTTTTTCCTCAACCTCTCCCCTTCCTTACTCCTAGAGACCCCTGACTGCATTGGAGCGTCTTATCCCTTAATGGGTTGACAATAGGAAGAAAGTGTTAGGGGTTGTGACTGAGCTCTCAGGCATTGTTCAAAAACAAAGAACATTCCACTTAACCTCAGAAGATCTACATTCCCTTAACACTTCCCTTCGACTGTGTCTTCCCAAAGAGCTTAGCGTAGACTAATATGGAGAGAAATACAATTAAAAACAAAATGCTAAATCCACTCAGAGTCATTGAGAGTCACTTCAAACCAGTTTGGCAAAGCAAACATTCTTGGGTATTTCTTCTAAATTCTCCCCTGAAGGATCTAGAATAGAGAACGATCATTACCTCAGCGTTAGTGGTGGTTGGTAGAGTCTTTCTAGTTTTACTTATTTATTTTTTACTTTCAGTGAGTCCCTGTTCTCCTGCTGTTAGCTTATTTCTGCCTTCCTTCTCTGAAATAGGCCTGTCGTGGTCTGTCATCTTGAATGAGGAGCCTTCTGTAAAGCTCCAGAGCATTTATAGATAATGTTGGGGGACACCCTTCAGCGTTTTCTAGCCTAAGGGTTATTTATTGTTTGGGAAGAAATGCTTCAGGAGCCCTTAGCATGTATACTAAAAAATTATTATTCACTGAGTCAGTCGTAGACTATGGCAAAGGACAAAAAAACCAAAAAACCAAAAAACGCTGTAACTCGACTTCCTGTCTTCTTGCCCAAGCTTTGTGCCGGAGTTTGTCTTAAAGACCCGCAGAGAACTCCACTTGCATATCCCAGCTGTGAGTAACCACAGTGTAAGGCCTGGAGTGGGAAACTTTGTTCATTTAAAAATTCGATTGTTTTTATAACATGGGTCTCCTTCGTTGCTTCCGAATGGAAGCATAGAATAACACTTTCCTCCTCTTCGGACATTCCATCCCCAAACAAAACCAGCCCAGGAGGCCGCTGGGTAGTCATTAATTACTGCACAGTGTGCTGGGTAAAAGGCAGTCAGTATTAACTTATTCTTTCCCGTGTCTTCCGACCAAATTGCCAGCTCCTCCCCTCCATCTCTAATTCTTCATTATTTTTATCTCCAACACAGGTCGCTCAATGGCATCGACCCTGGAGACTCTCTGGATTGGCTCTGAGAACCAGTTTGTGTCAGGGTCAAGATTAGCCCATTCTCAGGAAAGAAGTTGGCATCTGTGCTGTTGTCAGATGGTTTCTTGGCTTCATAAACGTAAGATGGGGCTGAAGAGTGATTTCTCTTCTGTCCCCACAGCTAAGCGATGTATCCCTTAAGTCGTTTCCTGGTTATTTGGAACCGGGAGTTGCTTTCCTAGCTAGGAACGCTCTCTTGTACTCCATGGGCCTGCCGAGATTTAGTGATTCCAACTAACACCTTCACTGTTCCCGAGTGAGTCACTCCAGGGCTGCCATCCAACCACGAAGGGGCAAAGGGTGAACCATTTAGGATCGCCCCCGCTTACGGTAACGCCATGAACTACTCAACTTCTGGGGATTGTATCTCGCATTGAATTTAGGATACAGAATATGACAGCTCGAAGTTGTTAAAATGGGACTTAACCCCCAAAAATAAAGATTAAGAAAAAGACATAAGGGCTTGATTAAATTAGTCTAGGGGTCAGAGCCAAAGGCCACAGGCATTGACTGATTTATGGGTGGCAGTGCTGGTGGCAGCAGATTAAAATTCCAAAGAGTACTGAGAACCAAAGGTCTCCTGTGAGGCTGAGACAATGAGATAATTAGAACAGCGATAGTGGCTTCCATTTACCTGTGTAGTGGATGTTCAAGTTTCTGGTTCTGGCTGTGGGTTTTCAAAGGCTTGTAATTAATAATATCTACATTCAAAACTGCCTTTTCATGTTCCGATGATGAGCATGTGTCATGAGTGTCCGTGTGTGTATAAGAGGTTGGGAGTTTGTAGTTTCCAAAATAATGACTCACATGAAAAAGAGTAATTATATCTTATTCTGTGATCTGAACAATAGCAGTTTCCCCACTGATGCTTCCCCTGGAGCAAGTTGTGAATCTCACTTAACAACTGGCTAAGGTAGGAAGGAATGGGCTCTGGGCTTCTCGATGGGAAAGGATAAATTAAACGACGATCAATGAAAGAAAACAAACTAATGAAAATGGGGAACTGCTGTCAGACGGGGCCTATATGTTGAAACTTAAGGCACAGAAGCCACTAGATGGGTGACTCTTGTTCTCATGTGTGGCCCCTTTATTCCTACTCGTCTCTTTGAGAGGCGGTCAGCCTCGCACGTTTTAAGAGTAGATCGCCTGGGTGTGAATCCCGGCTCTATTCTTCATTATGGGTGGACCTTGAGCACATGGATGGAGGTGGTGGTGGTGGTGGTGGTGGCGGTGGGCTGGGGGGAGGTCTTTCTGTGCCTGAGTTTCCTCTTCTATTACGGCGAAATCAGCAGTAGCCAATACATAGGGTTGCTGTGGAGTTAAAGAAAAATGCTTACAATGCCTGGCATATAAGCAGTAGAGTATGGTTATCACTTGTCAGTCCATTAGGCCAGGGGTCTCCAACCCCTGGTACCAGTCCATGGCCTATTGGAATTGGGCTGCACAGCAGGAGGTGAGCAGCAGGGGAGCGAGCAAAGCTTCATCTGTATTTGCAGTCGCTCCCCAGCTCTAGAGTCACCGCCTCGGCTCCACCTCAGATCAGGCATTAGATTCTCATAGGAGCACTGGTCCCTGGAGCCAAAAAGGTCGAGGACCGCTGCATTAGGCCCCAAACCAAAAACATTCTTGATCTCAGTACTTTAGACACTATAGGATGAGCTAAGGTTTGATAGCGAAAAGTTGAGTTTTTCAACAGCTAGGAATTGGATGCTGCCCTTTATTATCTGTGTGGCCACAGAGAACTTACATAACCTCTCTGAACTTCTGCATTTCCTTGTTTGTAAAACAGGGTTAATAACATGCCTCCGAGGGCTCCTTTGGGGCTTACAAGATAACACACGTAAAGGGCCTGGCACCTGGCATTAGCAGGCGAGCAGCAGGAGTTGGCTCCCACACTTCTTCCATTCACTTTCACTGGGCAAAATTGGGTTTGAAAGCAAAAGGGGAATGGCATGGGTTAACCAAACCGCAGGGGTTTCTTCATTTTCCTCCCAACCCCCAGCCCTTCCCCCTTCCCCCCTCGTATACTGAACTGTTCTCTTTAACCTCTAGCATCCCTCTGCCAATCTCTAAGCCATTCACCAGCTTACTACCCTGCCCCTTCGTTCCTTCCAGTATCAACTCTGGGCCTTATCACAGATCTCTAGGAAGCATCTTATAACCCTGAAGGCTTAAAGACCTTAAGGACCGAGCTCCATTTTCAACAAAGCCCTTGCCTTTTCCTAAATAACCTCTTTTCCCAGCTTTGTAAGTTCACGCCCTTAAGGACCGAATTCTGTTAATTTGTTAATTGGGGAAAAGGAGAATGAAAAGAGAAGAAACAGAGAACACTCACAGCTTAAGATTTGGTTCAATTATTTATTTTTTTCTAAAAACAATAAAAAAAAATCAACTTTAAAAAGGAAATGTATTTAAATAAAAAAAATTATGGTTTATAATACATGGTTTGGAATCTTGTATAACTGCTATAAACGTTTTATTAAAGTTATTTACATTTAATGGTCATATTTACACAGAAAAATTGGTTACATTTCTTAAAAAAAAAACAATTCTTAAATACAAATCTGTTAAAGGGAAAAAAAAAATGGCAAGCATAAAAAAGTTCTTTTATGCCCAAAATTCCATGTGAGGCAGTTTACATTATGGCTAAGACTTTCAGTCCAAAGACTCAGCCCAGGTTGTGAGGTTGCACTTGACCATGCATTTGAAAAGAGTTCATACGTTATGAATTGTTGTAGTTCTGTCAGAAGGAACCTTTTCCCTAACTCTCCCTTAGTAACAAGTGAGGATTCATGAGTGACTCCAGTTCCTCCCTCCAATAGGTCAAGTTTCATGCACAAGAGTTCCGTAGCTGTTCAAGTTTGTGTTTCAACTGTTCTCGTCGCTTCCGCAATAAGTCTTTTTCTGAAATGAGCTTTTGCTCCTCTGCTTGGATGGCCAGGATGTATGCGGTGGCTTTTTTAAGGATAACTACCTTGGGGGCCTTTTCATTGTTTTCCAACTCCGGGATCTGGTCACGCAGGGCGAAAAAGCTGCGTTTCAGCTCGTTTCTCCTCTGGCGTTCCAGAACGTTGTGTGTTCGCCTCTTGTCATTCTCCTCTGTGTCTGAGGACCTGGGGCTGGCACATTTGCGGTTGTTGCTGATCTGTTTCAGGACTCGGCCACTGTCCAACTTAGCCCTCTTGGTGGGGGGATAGTCTTTCCTGGTGGAAGGGGGTGCTGCGTAATTGTGCTGATGGGTGGACACGTGGCACCGCTTAAGGACCAGTGGGCTGTGAGGAGGTTTGCTGTGACTTCCAGCAGAGGGTGACCCCGATTCTGACCTTTTGGCAGGGGGCTGCCTCTTTTCCACAGAAACAACATCGATTTCTTCCTCATCCTCTTGTTCTTCCTCTTTAAGAAAGGAAATAGAAATCACCTGGTTAGCAACATTTCCTTAAAGCAATCAATGAATGGATTAGATTAATGTTATGCCAATGTAAGGCATCCTCTGAGGAAGGACCCTGAAACAAAGTGATCCCTGCTTTTCTCCCCAGGAAAGCCAGTCCCAGAAATCTCCGGGAGGAGAATGACAGCTGGCTTTATGGCACAGGCAAGAAAATTACCATTTACCAGGACACGGCACTGATGCCAATTCTTACCTAAGACTTAATGAGGCTTTGGACACACCCAAAGTAAAGCATATTCCCAAGCACCTCCTGTTTTTAAGGGACTTTACCCAGAACCCTTTAGGTGTTGCAAAGGATAGTTGCAAATCTCCTGGAGCGACTTCAGCAACTCCCTATTTTACTGGAAGTGCGAAAGGAAAAAAAAGGAAAAAAAAAAATCTTGCTTCTTTGCCAAAAGCCCCAGGGGTTGGGGGAAGGGGCAGAAAGAAGTCCAGTTCTGGAAAGGATTTGCTTTTAAGTGTTCAAAAGAGGCTGAAAAGATCCCAACTCCTCAGCCCACGTGCTCTCAGGTACTAGCTAACAGCCCCAAGGGGGAGGCTGCTCTGCCTGTCCACTGCCCGCTCTTCATTTTTGTGGACCTGCAGTCATTAAATTCCAACACTTCTCAAAAGAGTAGAGGGAGGCAATTCATTCACTCCCAGAGATCAATCCTCTCTTAATCTCATTCACACCAGCCCTCTCCCCCCTACGGCAATTAAAAGGCTTAAGAAAGGTAAGAGGGAGTGGATCGAGTTGCAAGATAAACCGATAGATCGAAAAACCCAAATGAAATTCCTAGGGGCGGGAGAGAAAGGAAGAGACTGGCCACTAGGGCGGTCTTAAGGGAAAGGATGGGAGGAAGCAGTAAAAAGCCCAGTGTTCCAGGGACCACGGAGCTCCTAGATCCTTCCAGATCTACCATTTCTTTCCCGAATGTAAGAAAAGAGACAGTGTCCACTGAAGTGGCCAGCCGAATAAGCGGCCGATGAGAATAGGAAAGACGGCCAGCCGCCCTCTTTGTCGGGCCTGGAGGGTCCCAGCTTACCAGAGTCGCTGCTGGTGGTGGGCGGTGTCTCCTCGTGGAGCACCAGGGGCTCGGGGCTGGCCCGCGGGGAGGACGCGGCCGAGGAGAGCAGAGAGTCCGAGGACGGGGAGAAGGCGGTGGAGTCCGGGGAGGCGCAGGGCTTCGGCGAGCTGCTGTCGTTGAGCGGGTAGGGGAAGACCACGGAGGGGTCGATGCACTCGGAGGCGGCGGCGCTCAGGTCCTGCAGGTACAGGCTGGAGGTGGAGCAGGCGCTGTGCCCGCGGGCGGGGCTCCGGCTGCCGCCGTCTTTGCGCGCAGCCTGGTAGGAGGCCAGCTTCTCGGAGACGAGCTTGGCGGCGGCCGAGAAGCCGCTCCACATACAGTCCTGGATGATGATGTTTTTGATGAAGGTCTCGTCGTCCGGGTCGCAGATGAAGCTCTGGTTCACCATGTCTCCTCCCAGCAGCTCGGTCACCATCTCCAGCTGGTCGGCCGACGAAAAGCTGCCGCCGCCGCCGTCGTCATCGTCCCTGGGGGAGAAGGACGCGAACGCAGCAACGTAGGAGGGCGAGCAGAGCCCGGAGCGCCGGCTCGGCGACAGGGGCGGGGTGGGCAGCAGCTCGAATTTCTTCCAGATATCCTCGCTGGGCGCCGGCGGCTGCAGCTCGCTCTGCTGCTGTTGGTGGTAGAAGTTCTCCTCCTCGTCGCAGTAGAAATAGGGCTGCACCGAGTCGTAGTCGAGGTCGTAATTCCTGTTGGCGAAGCTGACGTTGAGGGGCATCGCGGCAGCCTGCCGAGGGGGGCACACAAAGCGGGGCAGCCTTGAGTTAAGGGGGTCTCGGTTGTTGCCGCAGCCCTGCGCCGGAACCACTCCCCTTCCAGCGCTATCGCCAAGGGGGGCCGGTGGCGGGGGTCGGGAGAGGGAGGGCACCCCTTCGCCCCCTCTGGGTGCCCCCCTAGAATCTCGGACACGCGCTGGGTGGATCCGCCGCGGAGCGCCCGCGAGGCTTCGGTC